GTTGAATTTGGTGAACTCTACTCACCAACAGCGCGGGTGCTTCCACTCGTTGGCGCGTCCCGTGCTGAGGCTTACAGCACACATACAACACAATGCGGTTGACTCTACTCGTCAACAGCGCGGGTATTTCCACTCGTTGGCGCGTCCCGTGCTGATACGTGTACGCTATCGCAAAAAATGCATAAAAATCGTGATAAATTTTACTACTCTGTACTACAAATAGAGAGCTGTGATCGGAGCTGTGATCGGAGCTGTAGTCCCGAAAACCCTTGTCTTTGAGCGAAATTTTGCACACAGCAGACGAACCACCCTTCACTCCCAATACTGGGAACCACACGCACCGCAACCACAACAACATCAAGCACCGAGGCCGTACGTTAGCATCGGCTCCGGTGCGCGCTTTCTCTGCTCTCCCCCGCGGATGCGGCACCGGGTTGAGCAGATGTTCAGGGGCTGTATGTACCCTCCGATGGTATTGTGCGTTTGAATCTGAAGACTACAGCAGTATCGGTAGGCAGTAGATTGGATCTGGCAAGGATATCTGCCTCACGTCATAGAGATGAGGCATGGGTGAATAGTGCTGTGCTATGTGAGTCCTGTGCGCCTTGCTGATAAGCGTGCTTTTGGGGTGGGCTGCCTGTGTCTCCCTGCTGGTCTCTATACCTATGTAGTAGTTGTTTGCTCTTAGCCGAGGCACAACGGCGATCTTTCGGCACGCAAAGTGATCGGCGCTGAGGACGGAGCTGAATCGGCCTGTACTCACGTAAGGGTTAAAGGCAACTTAAGCTACCCCTGGTGCCAAGAGTTCGCTCTGTGGCAAAACAACGAGTTACGATGATATTTAAATATCGAACGATATAGCTAACATTACCATCTATCCCGTAACAAAAAAATAAAAAGAAGAAAAATCGTTATAAGTGACAAGGTACAGCGGTAGCCGTTTGCCCAAGTTGAAGATGGAATATTGAGGGAAAACACGGCCCGGAGGGTATTAACGGCTACCTTGAATACTAGTGATTGCGCTCGTTCTACTGCTTCCCAGAACTTCTCCTCTGGCACAAACAATGATGATGGTACTAGCGAGCGTTTAGAATTAAAAAATAAATAAAAATGCTTACCCGGGGACAAAAACGAAGAATCCCCTGGTTTTCGTTTGACTGTTTATAGAAAAAATACGAAGGAGAAAGCAACAGCATTAACAATGCCACGCGACGGGAGGTAGCTTTACCCACCATCTGTCTCGTACAAGGTTAGATGCCATGGGGTATCGTGAGTGTGGAGAAAAAAGGTTGCAACTGCCCTCTCCCGCACGGAACAGCCCGGAAAAGCCGCGCAGCCCTGTTCTGATCGTCAGTCCGTTCACCGCTTGTCACGATCGGCATTTCTCCTCGAGCGCCCAACGAGCCGGCCCGTTTATGGCGTGCCGGCGAGCAGAGCCTTCTGGCTACAAATAATGGCCATGGTCTCGGTGGTAGGGTGCCGATAGCCCCTCTATGAGCAGTGTGCAGCAGGCCGTGTCGTGCACTTGCTTTGCAGCACCCTCGCGGCAAACTCCTTGAACTCCTTGCCTCTTTGATGTTGATCTTGATAGAAAAAGTCCCCTGGGACTTCTTCCCAGACAGAGGAACTTCTAAAAATCAAAGGGCGTCGTCAGGAGGTAGCAGATATTCGACCAATCAGATCTCGATTTTGATTCGATTTTTTTTTCGATTTTGATTTCGGCACTTCGTTAACACACGCCCTTAGCGGCTGGAAAATAAATAAATAGAGAAAGGCTGGGATATCGTACGCCACCTTGGCGCCGAACGCTATAGAGGGCTCAGTTTTTATCCAGCTGGAGCAAACTTGCGCTTAAACGATCGGCATGGTCCATGACAACAAGAAAAAAAAGGCATTCCCCGATATTGTTGGCAAGATATGAATTTTTAAGCCAGGTGGTCGCTAACACTCGGGTGGCCTTTAATACCCGCCTCTACTCAACACCTCCAAAACACGTGCCGAGGAATATTCGGGATTGTCGAGACACGGGACCCCTATTGACCGTAGCGTAAGCAGCAACAATCACTCCACTCAATGTACAGGCGTCGAGAACGAACCAACGCAAGCTCGCGATATAACAACGCGTCGTTCTGGGCCCGACGCAGAGCCTCGTCAGATATTTCCGCCGAAGATAGGAACTTGTAGAGCACTCTAACTGCAGATCCAGGCGCGCGATCGACCACGCTCACGATGAAGAGGAAAACAAGTGTTCCCGCAACGCCGCCCTGACGTTCGCCCGCCGCCTGCCGCCGGTTCGCTGCTTATACGACTCCAACCGCGACCAGATGCCGACACGGGCCTCCACGCGGAGCGGCAGGGCTGCGGCCGGGCAAGCAGGGCGAGGTCGGGCGGCGACACCCTCGACACCACGCACGAGGTCTACCGCGCGATCGGTGGCGATCTCGACGGCTCGCCCCTCGACGCGGAGCGGGTCACGTACTCCCGCGAGGCGTCGAGCGGTATCCTCGTCGCGAGGGACAGGGACAGGTACCCGCAGCGACCCCCCCGCTGACGAGACTGAGCTCGCTCCTCTCCGCGGGCTGGTGGACGGCCTGAGGGAGGAGCTGCAACGGGGGCGCGACGAGGCTGGCGGCGATCGCCAGTAGCTTCAAGCATCGATCGACGACCTGATCGCCGCCCAAGCAGCAGGACCTGGCCTTTAGGGGGAGGTGCAACTGGTGGGCACAACCGCCCCACCACCGGCATCTCGGGCCCCCGCTGTACCCAGCGCCGAGGCTGCTAAGGCTGCGGCAAAGGATAGGGCGCGGATGCAGGGGGACCTCCGCCGGTTAAAAGCGTGGCTCATCCTCGGACGGCCTCCGGCAGTTGCAAAACTGTCGGAGCCGAAGTGGCAATCCTTGCCTCGCAAAGGCGTTCTGGTGTCAGAGAAAGTGGCGGCATCGCTCGACACGCTCTCAAACTTCCGGGTCGAAGACCGTGGTCGCAACGTTGGCCACGGCAACGGGGCAGGGGGTGCGGAGGAGAGGCGCGCGCCGCTGGCGAGGGCGGCGCGAGGCCCACAGCCGCTGGTTTCTTCACCCACGGGAAAGACAAATAGAGGTGCGGGCTCTCCCGCGTGGCGGGGGGGGCCTACCTCGGTTGGCAGCGCACATGCGGCCAAATCGAACGGCAGCACGCCGGTCTACACGAGGTTGGCCCAGGGTAATCAGCAGGTCCAGGACCTGGGACAGGCAGGACAGGACTCTGTTACCGACGTCTTGGCATCCAGCTCGTCGAGCACTCAGTTGTCTAGAAGGACTTGCACGCCAGGCTTCAACTCTTGGTGCACGTTTCGGAGGCTGACGGGGAAGCCCAAGTTTCTAGGGCAACGTGCCAGGGGCCTTCATGTGTGGGAGTTGATAGACTTCGTAGCCTGGTGTTTCGAGTCTGAGGGTAACCTAGCGAGTACAATATCCGGAAAACTCGCGGCTGTGCAACATTTTCATACTTGTAGGCTGGAAGCTTCGGTCGAGCTAGACTTGTCGTCTCCGATGTTGAAATGTGCGCTAAGGGGGATGGCGAGGAACCACGTGGCTATGGGGACGGTACGCCGTGTGCGCCTGCCTGTGTTATGGCGTATGCCGCTGGACGGGGAAAGCGCAAGGCAGAACTGGGGGGAAGGGGGCAGAGTGATGTGGCTGTGTCTGTGCCTGTCCTATCTCTTCATCACACGGTCAGATGAGGTGTTCGCGAATGACGCGGGCAGGGTGCATGAGGCACACCGTCTTACGAGGGTGGACAAATCATTGTTTACCGACGGGACGCAACTAGACTTTAGTCACTGTCGTAGAGCAGACCGTGTCGAAATGAGGTTTAGAGGGCACAAGGCCGATCAAGAGCAGAAAGGCAACATACGGGTTCGTACGCGAGACGAAGTCACCGGACCGCAGTCAGGTGTGAGAGCACGCGGCGGCGCGGTGGCTCTTGTGGTGGAGCTATTGTCGTGTCATGCGACGTTGCCTGACTCCGCTCCGTTGGCTCCGTACCGTAGTGGAAGAGCAGTGAGAGTAGTGAAGTATAGTGCTGCCCTCCGCGCAGTAAGAGAAGTGGTAGCGAAGTCGGGGCGTAACCCCCAGGAGTACGCGTTGCACTCGTTGCGAATTGGAGACGCGACGGCTCTTGCATCGGGCGGAGACATCGCAGAACGAGTGATTCAGAGAGAAGGGAAGTGGAGGTCGAATGCCTACAAGCCGTATGCGCCAAACAATGTAGAGGATTCGCGGCGAGTGTCACGGAACTTACAGACGGCAGCAGGATTGTATTGAGACAGCCGGGGGAAGGGACCGTATGGGGAACGCATAGTTGAGTTATTCGGTAGTCGTCCAGAAACTGACCTCGATGTGGGTGTTGTAGAATGGTGTGTATCATTTGAGGACTTGGTCAGTTTTGGGACTCCTGCTTAATGTCATGTTTCCCTTACTTCCCTGTTTCTACGTCTGACTGCGGCAAAGCAGACACCCGGCGTTTGTTTGGGCGCCCACGAAGTCTCCCTGAAAATAATTCCATAGACAATCGCCTCATTTCATCATTGAATGGGTCTATCGATGTTTACCGTCGACGAGTCCTTACGCCTCTGAAAATGAACTTTTTGGTCAGATTTTCCACAAACGTTCATGCATGACTCACAACGCCACCAATGTTTAATGCATAGAAGATCTTACGGACGGACGGATGGCCATCATAACGACCACAATCAATCACTCTTCGTGCTTCCTGATACCTTTCAAACAAGGGCAAACCTGAACGACACTTGAAGAAAACTTCATGTAAACATGGAACATTTGGTCCATCGACGTACTACAGACCAGCAAAGAGCGCAACACATCAGGTAGCGACGGGAATCGTCTTGCTCAAGCTTGGGCGAGAGATTCTACCAGCCTTCGGCTTGGCCGCCTCATCCTAGAACCGATACGGCGTGCAGGCTCTACAGGGGGTACGGGCGCGGCATCCGGTGCCCCCGCCTCTCCGTCATTCCCGCCTTGTTGCTCATGATTGTCGCCCTCGGCGGCTTCAGCCGGTACTCCTTCTTCACCTCCATTCCCACCTTCTTGGTGACCTCCATAGCCTTCAACCGGTGATTCTGCAAAATTCAGGGGTCCAACCTCCGACAAGTCGAACCGTGACGGTGCAGGGCCCGCAGGCATGAGTGGGGCACCGATAACACCCGCCCAAGGCACGGCCTGGGCATGGGGTTCGTCGTCGTCGTCCACCGCGCCTAGTAGATCGTCCCAGGAAAGAGAGTAGCGGGCCTCCGGCGCGGCAGGAGGAGAGAAGGGCGCCTGCCGCTGCGGGGCTGGGTCCGGGGGCTGCAAAATGTTGGGCTCGCCGGCCGGTGCCGGGGGAAGGGCTGCCGGTGCCGGGGGAGGCGGTGATGGTGCCGGCGAAGGGGGTAGTAGGCGGGCGTTCCTCAGCGGGTCCGAGTTGCTGGCTGGGGAAGAGGCGCCGGCGATCGCCTGGATGTCTCTGCCGTCCACCTCGCGCACGGGACGACCCATGTTGTCGCCGAGCCCCGAAGGGGCGGCGGTCGCGTCTGGGAGCGAGAGTGCGCCAGCAGCGTCTCCACCGCCCCGGTGTCTCGTCGCCTCGGGGTGAACACCGCCCGCGGAGCCGCCCTGGTTGTCCGGGTGGCCTGCGTGCCTAGCCGTAGGTACCGCCGGACCGGCGCCTCCTCCAAGTTGGGGGTGTTTCTGTCTTTTTCGCTTGAAGTTGCTGAGCCCGATCGCCCTTGATCCGGCCTCTTCCTCGTCTTCTTCCTCCTCCTCCTCCTCCTCCTCCTCCTCCTCCTCCTCCTCCTCCTCCTCCTCTAGCTCCTGCCCAAAGGAATGACGGGAGGAACGAAAGCGGGGCGCGGACGGAAATACTAAGTGGTGTGGGCAAGGTTTAGGCCCATCTTCGCGATCCTCTTTCTCCAGCACAACATGACGAAGTATACCTCAGCCCCACGATAGATGTACTGAATCTGCAATGTAGGTAGATGGGTCGAGGTAGTTTTCGAGCCGTTCTTCGTTTTCGATATGCGGCATTCAATGAAAGCGCATTTGGTCAGAGACTGAGCGGATTTATGTAACCCTTCGTACCTAACCGTCCGTTTGGTCTACGTCATGTTCGCCGGGGGTGCAGGTTTTGATGTAGGAGCAACAAGGCAGAACTTCAAGAACACAGTGGAAGAAGAAGCGTGCCGCTAGGATATCTTCCCCGCCAGCTGGCGTATACCTGCATGAGCGTGCAGAAATGTAAAATGTGCCTGCAGTCACTCATTTGCGGAGGTAGACATGCGGATGGGCCCACGGTGAGCATCAATCTTGATCGTTTCGCCTCCACCATCGGCGATCGACCGTAAACCCTAACCCCAACCCCCAAATAACAGAGCTTGATGTTTATTGGGAAGGTTCTAGGTTCGATTTTACGGGTTTTCCGCCGAAATCACTTGAGGAAACATCCAAACATTCCTACCAGTCCGGAGTCTTGCACACCAGCTCCCTCGTTCAGTGCCTCCTCTCCCTCTGGTTCCCTGTTCAACGTCGGACCAATTTCCTGGGACTGTCGAGGGTCATTTCCCTGTTTCAACCGCGTCTCATACGAGATGGCATCGGCCTGAGCAAAACAATCAAACACGAAACAATACAATTACTGCATGAAGCGCTTCCTTTCTACGCCAGACAGTATATCGCCGGTACATTCCCGCCCACGTGTGGTTACCAGAGGTTCGGTTACCAAAAGCAGTTAGGGATAAATGGCCTCTATATTTACCCTTCCACACAAGGGCCTACTGTCAATGGCAGGGAAGTGGTTCCTTCGATATGAATGTCTGCTGTGCACACCGCTGTTCCTCGCTTGTGATTGGGTTTGTCTGTGGACCTGCAAGGGATCCAACGACTTGGTGGATAGTTCGTACCCTCTTATGTGTCTAGATCAGGGGAGTGCCCGCACCAATGCCACAACCACCGACAATGATTTGTGCCATACCTGTGCCTGGTTGGAGAGCTGCTCGCCGACGTTCGGTCTTGCAGGGTTCGGTGGGCTCAACGATGTAGGAACATCAGTTGGTTAGAGGGCCAGTTCGTTCGCTGTGAATCCCCATACCTTCAGATGCTCTTCCACCGCCTTATTCAAGAAACTTTCAACACATGGAGCAGGCGATGGAGGTAATGCGGGACGGGTGGGCCCGTTATTCAGCGAAAAAATCTCTTGTATTCTTGCTTGAGAAGATAGGGGTGCTGAAGAGAAACACCAGGCGCAGACAGACACTTACCGTTAGGAAAGACTCGAATTTTTCGCTAGGCGATGGTATAACGTCGTTCCATGTTTGCGACCCTCAACACCACACCGTGATTCTGTGGTGCCTCGCTCGTTCGTATCTCATCCCAAACACCGCACATGTAACAAGTGTGCCCAGTAAACATTGCTCCACTGGGCCGAATCATATCATGAACGGGTGTTGAAGAGAGAGTCATATCTCATACTCCTCATACAACCAATATTCCCACACGTCTTACCTAGCAAGCACTGCGCCGCGTACGTTGGTCCCGTCTCTTTCAAAAAGAGGAAACGGTCTCCCGTCCTCTATGCGAACTCCAGGTGCTTCCGTTTGCGCCCTCCGTAAGTACGTGAACGCATCTTGCCTGTAGGGCGAAGAAAAATAGGTTGTTCTCCTCGTCAATTTCACCGTGAACCACGGCAAGGCGGTGAAGCGACCTTGACACAGATACCCATGAGGAAAATACAGTGCAACAGTAGAAAAGTCGGCACAAGAAGTCAACATCAGCCGGCATTGAATGACAGCGTAACCACTAAGTGAACGCCGTGGTGTGGCCACGGTATCTGAAAAACCGTGGTATACATACCGTGGAACTACGGTCGTATACGTCACCGTGGATACACCAAAGGTGTGCGCCATTCATTACCCACTGATATATCGGTTCTTATAGGGTATTTTCACACTGAATATTGTTCATGGGCAACTCTGTCATGGTACGGTATAGATTCACCGCATTACCGTGGTTCACGGTGCAATTAACGAGGATGGTCCTCCGAAAAAAGGTCAAGCGTGAAGAGTCGAAAGGATAATTCACAAGCAAGAGATTGGATGATCGCGCAAGGAGTGCTTGCAACCAAACGAGACCTCATCGCGCCCGCGGTCATTGGACCACGTTGGAGATCCAACGATTCTCAAGAAGACAAGACCCTGCATGATAGAATCATACCAACGAAACTCGAGAAAGAAAACGCTTTCGTTACAAGAAAACTCGCTTACGCCGGGATTGGAACCCCTGACCACGGGTGAAACGTTTGCGAGGATACCAACTAGACTAGTGCCAGGGCGACCGTCTACATATCATCGGTTGGAAAATTCGGACAAGCGCGATCAGGTCATCTGGGCGAGGAAAGCAACACAAGCGGGAACGCAGAACGAAGTTTCAACCAAGTAGCGCCAGAGCAACAAAAATAGCAAATCCCACTGTGTACCAGGAGCGTACCACTGGAAATGGTGCCTACATGGAAAATCGAGTAAAGGTAGCGTGGGCCATCACCAACCAGCCAAACAAGGACAGATCAGGAAATACAGAGACCTCTTCGACGAAATCAATATATTCAATTTCACATACTCATGTCGGACCTTGTGTCCGCCTATTTGTCTTTGTCAGCGCCTCTCTCTAATGATTGGGTCGAATCGGGACCAATCATCTACCGCACGTACGTTCAGTGTCGGCGATGCGATTGCTAAAATCCACGAACCAGGATGCTTCCGTTGCCGACGGTCATACACGTGCGTAACGCAGCTACACAGTTGGGAGAGCTACTGGTTGCGTGGCACTTCTGATGAAGTACGCTCAAAACGTTGTTCCGCCTATCTACATGGTGATTGCGCCCGCAGTGCACTGATACTAGCACAGACACGAAAGCGGTTTTACCCGAGCGGTCACTCCTAGCCGTGCACGAGTCTCGAATGTCGAGGATGTGGCGAGACCCGAAGCTGGGAGTGACCGATCGGAGTCGGGTCAATGACGTGGAGCGTCATCGAACGAGCAACGTCCCTTGCGTACGTGGAATGAGACAAGGCACCCTATGGCTAGCGTATAGGAAACCCAAAATGATTTTATACACTTCCTCGAGCGTCCTGCTAGTAAGTGGTGGAGTCACGTCCTTTCGAGTGCGCAATCGCCTAACGTACGGGGAAGAGGCACCAACATCTACCTGTCAACACATGGTGAGGATAGCAAGAGTCTTGGTCCGACCAGATTTCGGGGGCGGATCGATAGAGAAAGCTGGACAATGCCACACAAGCAACCAGCAGCACCACGTGAGGTTCGGAGCGGCCGAGTTGGCGATGATGTCGGGCTAGAGCGGGGTTGCGGAGGCGTCGCTGAAGCATGGAGGCACAGCAGGGAAGTGCGAAGGAGCGCAAGTTCGGAGGTGAGGGCGAGTTGACCTTCATTCTCTCCGCAGAAGCGTAGAAGCATCCCCCGCGTCGGGGGTGAGAAGGAAGCGAGTAGGAGCCAATAGGCTTGCACCCAAGGGCCACGGCCGTGCTCATGTTCGTGTTGAACGGCAGCAAAGCGATAGGCGTTTCGTCGTTGTCAATGGCAGCAAGTAATAGCGATTCGAGGACGGTTTAACACCGTCGAGTTTAGTTATGTTTGAACATGTGCGAATAATATATGCACAACCGACGGCAATGGTTGATCTGTTTTTTGTTGCCGAGACATTTGGTACTACCAATCTGCGCACGCTTTGATTGCACCAAGCTAGTACCATCTTCAATTCTGTATTCAAGCAGCCGACGAGCGTGAAGCTGAGGCCCGGAGCAGCCACGGCGGATACGAACCTCTGGAAGCTCGGACGTTGCAGGAGAGGCACGTTAGCGCGCCAGAGGTAGAAGTTTGACGAAAACGTCATGGTCACGGACCTACCTGCCTTTCTGAGAAATAATAACGAAGGAAACCAATGGTTTTGGAGATGACCAGGAGATCACAAGGTAGTGCATACGTAAATGTCCAAGTCGATGAACCTGGCGAGCAGCGAGTGAAGACCCGGCAGAATCGCAATGAAACTGAACGGAGTTGGGCCAAGAACGCGAGAAATCAGGAGAAAAGAATACGGGAGACACCGTCGTAGTGCCGATCGTCAGCAGAGAGTAGCGAAACAAGCTGCACCAGCAGGTAGGGCCGCCACGTCGGACGACGGAAGAGTCGAACACGACGCGGCATTGTGGTGAGACACCAGTCACTTGCCCCGGGGCGACGGGACAAGATCGGTCATTGTGTTAAGGGAGGACGATGGTCTACGAGAGGCGGGATGATGAGACGAGGGCGGGAAAAAGAAGGCACAGGAAGGGTTGAATAGAGAAAGCCAGCCAGACCAAGCTACACAAGCAACCGGCAGCACTGCGCGAGGCTTTGGAGCGGCCAAGTTAGTGATGAGGACCGAGGCGCGGGGTGGAGGGGGGTTTTCACTGAGGTATCCGCCGTAGAGGTGGAATGAAGGAATGGTTCGAGGGTGAGGGCGAGATGGTGTCCTTTCTGCCCAGATTCAAGAAGGTGTGTTGGAAGCGGGAAGAAGAGGAGTAGGGGCCTGTAGGCCCGCACCCTAAGGTTACGACAGTGCCCATATCGACACGTGTTTGCCGAGCAGGGGCGGCACGGGGCGTTGCAGAGCTAAATGAGACTATGCAAAGGACCAAGTGGACACTGAAATGATGTATGAAGCTGTTTACCGACATCGGCATGAAAAAAGAAGGGGCCGCAAAAATCGGCCCCAACGAACGGGGGCCGCAAGAATCGGCCCCAACGTGCATTTGTATGATCGAAGGACGGGACTGCTGCAAAAGATGACAATGTACTCCTCAGTCCATTCTTCAAGTATCTCCCCAAACTCAACAAGTAGAGCTTTCTTCCTTGCCGTCTGGAGAACTTTAAGACCCGGTTTAGAACGATAATAATGCAATAGTGATTGCATAGTTTTTTCTTGTCGGATTCGTCGAGGTATATTCCGTCGCGAACATCGAACGCCGACCGCATTTATGTAGACTACACCTGTTTTCATGGATGATGCTGCAAACGCGCTAGTGTTCGTTTGTTCAAGCGACATGAAGTCTCAGCGTGTTAACTTGAACCTAAAACGAACTGTCGTGCTGCACCATACTAGGATTCCCAAACGGTTAACCTACCGTGCGCGGGAAAGTTCCTCTCGCCACGAAGGTGATAAGATGTCCGGGATTGGAGAACTTGACACCGCGTGTGAAGAGCTTGACGCCATGGCCACGATGCGAAGGGTACAATTGCCTGCTTTTGGCCGAGGGGGGAGCAGAAATAACGAGTTATGATGACATGTCGAAACTGGCTCCGAAGCATGGGGCACTACAGACGTGCCCTATTTAGTGCGTCCTTAACGAAGCTACAATCATTGTCGGACAATAGCGGACAAGTCCTGGAAGAACAGCCCACGGGGTTGTTGCGGTCGGATCCTCGATACGGAAAGACTTGCTCGCGTGAAGACTTGACTTGATCGGCGTCGAAAGATAAGATTGTTGATCCGATTCAGGCTATCATCACGACCTACATGTACAGACCATTGAAGAGTGTAGAAAGGCGGGAAAACTCGGGGGACATCAGAATGTTCGCCCGTTGGAATCGCTCCTCGATTCAGCATTGTTTTCCACGGTGTCTGCGCTACACCGTCCCATACATTGTTGTTGTCCTGGGGTACGCTACTATCGAATCCGAGCACCTTGTCTAACGGTGGCGTCGGGAAATGGTCATGCCCTGTCTGTTGGAATTGGTGGCCATCACGCCTATGCGGGTCCGACGAGGTGCACGCATGTCCGTACGTATCATAGATACCGTAGTCGGGGGATTTGTTTGTTCTCATGTCTAAACACGACCCGGTCTTCGAGGAAGGCAGTACAGGGTAAGATCGATTTCACCGCCGTATGACATGTGATGTGAGACCAATGGGAGCCAGGTGCAGGGAGACGAGGGGGAGGGGGAAGGGAGAGAGAGAGAACCACTTCGCCTTTCGTGAAAGACAAAATGGACAGGCAGCGGCGAAACCTGCTGGAGAGGTTGCTGCTCCCGAACCGGCACATAATATGTGCCGGTTCGCTCCCGACCGGCACCGAGGCTATTGTAGTCAAAGGATATTTCTTGCGTCCCTTTCTGAATCTCGGGAACAGTAGGCGTGTTTCTGAAATTGACTCGGCTCCATGTCCTTACCTTACGGACCGGCATGCTTTCTACAAGAGTGCGCTTGGAATCTCGCAACCATCCCATGGGTGATACGTAGACTTCGGAAACGGCGGATAAGATTCAGTCTGTCTGCCTGCAAGCCTACCTAGGTAGGAGGACCATGTTGTTGTCGACGACCGTGCAGAACTGCAGTCGCACCAATACTCTGTGTCACCGGTGTACACCAATACTGTCAAGTAAAACAACACACACAGATGGAGCGCGTCTGAAGGTGAATGGTGACTTCGTTGTTTATGGCCGTGTGCCAACAAGCCCAAAACAATGTGGAAAACATGTTTACAGTCTAGTCTATGTGCTATTCGGATACGGTCCTCCTTGTATATGTGCGTTCCTGTATAGTCTACGTAGTCTATGCCCACCCGTGGTGGTTTCGTTTTCTACCCGTAGGAGTGTCGTTAGTATTACCATACCGACAAGTTGTGGGCGCCTCTAAGCTCAGGGCTATGTACATATAGTTCTTAGCACTTCGCCACAGAACCTAGAACCTGCGGAGGTTGCTAGATTGTGTTCGTGTGTG